CCAATGAAAGGTGGGATTATTCTTATCATTTTTTCCAATAAAATATGTATCTCTTACCTGGGAAGATCCACATGCACAAAGATACACATCGTTATCATCAATTCATCATATATAGCGTGCAGCATGTGTATAAACGCTCACCTCCGAGTCTCCGACCAATAACACTTAACCAAGTTAAGCTAATACTATACGGAGTAATACATACTCCGTAGTATATAGTGCAAATAAAATAAAATTAAACATTTCCATCCAATTAACTCTCAATCATACAGATGCTTTCTTCTCTATTGCAATTTGCAATTTGGCTTACATGTGTTTATGGCGGCAGAAATGACATCTATATATAACACATATTTTCGCATTGGGAACCCAACAGTCAACTACATTTTGCATGGAGCCAACAAATTCTTAGATGCGTCTGATCTTTTATATCGTTTATGCATTGGATATGCCACAGAGTTTTGGTGAATGCAATGACTTTTCAGTTTCTCAAACAGTTTGTTTAATTAGCGTAGCAAATACTCGGTATATATCAGACTCTCTCTCCAGTTTCCCGCTCATTCTTTGTTGCCACTATTCCGTTTATATATATATATATATATATATATATATATATATATATATATATATATATAGATGTTAAACATTTAATTGTTACCATTTATTTATTTGTCTGATATTACAATGATTTGGTATTTTAGATTTAATATAATATTTTCATTTATTGGTTCAATATCATTTTTTTGTAGTTTTTATGTAATTGCATCTAAATAATTCTATAGGTATATACTTCACTCCCGTGCAACGCACGGGTGAGATAACTAGTACGTATAATAATAATTATACCTATTATAATTATGTTTGTAATTATAATTAAAAAATTTATAATTATGATTATAATTATAATTATATTTAAATTATATATGTGTAATTACATTTATAATTATAGTAATTATAATTTTAGAAATATTCAAATCAGATCAGAAAGATTCAGATCAGATCAGAAGGATTCAGATCAGATCAGGAACATTCAGATCAGATCAGAAAAATTCGATCAGAACTTAAAAAATTCAGATCAGGTCAGAGAACAGCTTCTCAGTCCTTATTCGTCCAACCTCACGACCTGTCGAACTGAAGCACAGACACGTGTGCGGCTGTTCTCCTCCTGTCTCCTCCTGCCCAGCTCCGACTGCACCTCCGGCTTCTGCGACTCCTCTATTTGCCTCCGTCCTGTGCTGCTCCGTGCTTAGCTCTCCGCCCCTCCTTCACGTGCGGCTCCGCCCTCCGTCCGTGCTTGCTTGCAACTTCGCTTTCTGAATCGCGGCCCGATTGCCTACTGATATCTGATTTGCAGGTATGCGTTTGAGATTTTGAGCATTTTACTTTCAATTTTATTTTTGTTATAATTCATATAGTCAAGATTACTTTTGGTTTCCGATTTAGCTTTATTTTTTTTATAATTTACTTTCAGTTTTAGTTGAGCCTTTGAGTGTACTCTAACTCATATTTTATGTTTCAGTCTTTTTTATTCTTGGCTTGCTACCTATGTAATGTTGTTTTTGTTGTTGTTTTTCTTGCTTTAGCCAATGTGCACATGTACAAATGTACAACTATATTACTATTAATGTGAATTCTGCTCGTGGTTTTCACATATTCTCATTACCTAGTATAGTATTAGTTAATTAATTTCAATGTGAATTTGACTTTGACAAAATACTTAGTAAATGAATGCATTTGAATTATGTGGTTCTGTTAAAATGGCATACTTTTCTAATTCTGTATACATGTGCTTTCATGATGAAGACTTTCATTTGTTGTAGAGATATATAATATAGGGTTCATTCTATCATGCTTAGATAAGGAGTAAATGTTGGAACTCTATTATTTATCCAATTGTAAAGTTTAGAAATAATTGTGATTCTCTTTTAAAAGCTTTTAATTGATATAATGTGGAAATTTCAGTCAAACTAAGGTTGAGATTGATTAGTTTGGAAATCTAGAAACTAGAATTGGCTGAAATATAGAAATTTAGAAACTACAAACTAGCTTTTTTTTATAAGAAACCCCCTACACTTTATTGTATTGTACTCAACAAATGTATATATTCAATTTTGCACATTGAATTTCAATATCCTGATTCTTGATCAAATGTGTAAAGTTTGAATATTTAGTATCATTATAATGTCAAGGGAAGATAAGATTGTTTTCTCCAAAGATGGGCAGGGGGCTCTCCCTTTTGATCAATAAATAGTGAACTTTGATTTCGTCTTCTCAAACACTTGCTCTGCAATAATGGCCTCATTGCCATCAGCCTCTTTATCTCCAAGTTAGCCTTTTTGATAGACACTGGTTCCTCTTAGAGCATCTGCAATAAAGTCATCAAATCCAATGGCAATGGCAGCTTCAGCTTTGACTCCATAAACAAGCCTCTTAATTCGTGAAAGTAGTATAGCACCAAAGCACATTGAGCATGACTCACAAGAGGCATACGTTTCACATTCTGATAGCTCAATGCGGTTCAACTTTTTACATGCCTCTCTTATAGCGGTCACCCCATCATGAGCAGTAGGGTCAGTATTGCTTAGCAGTCAGCACCATGCTATGCCAACAAACAAGATATCCCAAACATGATCATAATATCGATGTTGATAACAAAATAACTGAGTTTAGGATATCCTTCTTTGCAAATGAATGAATTCATTTTGTTCTCACGTTTTTACTCTATTTTGACTGCATTTTGCCGATTTACTGGCTTCACAATACTGCTCACTGGTATTTTCTTTTAAAACTGAAGACACTTGCAAGCTTACTTTTTTCTTATTTAGAATTTGAAATATAACCTGCTTCTGCATATACAGATAGGTGAACAAAATATGTTTTTACATGTATCGCGTTGCTTTCTACTATATTCTGTTGTTTTATGTTGTTCGACGGCTAATAAGGCATCAAAGCTCTTCACATTGATTCACTTACAAAATTAAAGAAAGAGCTTCCAAAGTTGAAGTTGTGAAGAAGCACAAAGTGAAATATGCATGGCGTAATTGCTCTAATGGGAAAGAAGCGTTCACGATTTTTTGTTCACCCGGTCACCCCTATGTAAATGTTATATATATGCTAAAAAACAAATTTACGGTGTATTGTTATATTTTGTTGTATTATAAGGACACTTCTCATCTTGAATGTGGGGATACACATTAAAAAATGTGATACTTTAATAAGGTTTTGTTTTGTTGTTCTTTGTTTCATAGTGTTGCTTTTTTGTTTCTTTTTGTTGCATCATTTGTTTATTGTTGCATCGTGTGTTATTTTTGTTGCATCATGTTTTTTTTGTTGCATCATATGCGTTATTTTTTGTTGCATCTTGTTGCATTGTGTTGCATCTTGTTGCATTTTGTTGTATTGTATTGTCTATTGTTCTTTATTATTGATTTTAATTTCATTTTTTCTATTTCATTTATATTTATATTCGTTAGTGATTTGGAATAAAAAAAATTAGATATTGCTAAATATACAAACACCTAAAATGATAAGTTTACATTTTTGAATAAACAAAAAAAAATCATGAAGAAACAAAAATAATTAAAGTTATCGACAAAGATAAACACAAAGAAACAATATGCAACAAAAGTAGCACTTTGATGATGATGATGATGATTGATATGTTCCATGATTTCATATTTTACATGCTTTTTAGTTTACTCTAGTTTTATGATTATTTAAAAATCAAAGAATCTTATTTTCTATTTTTATATTCTTATCTACAATTATATTATATTTTATGGGTGTTTTCAAATTTTATATATTATTTTGAGATTTTTTATGTTTTCAAATATCAGAATTTGTATTTTTTTTACAATTGTTTTTAATTTTTACGTAGTTATGCACTTTATTTATCTTAAATTTTTTCAAATTTGTATTTTTCATAGGTTTAAAAATAACCAGCTTACACTTTTTTATATGTTTTTTAAATTTTTTTAGGTAATTATATATTCTTTAATTTTTCTTGGTTTATTTTATATTTTTCTTAAAATTTTCATTTTTATTTATTATTTTCTTTCATAGAATTTTCCAAATTTTTATTTTTAGATTTTTTTACTCTTTTTTAAAGTTTAATTGTTTTCTTATTTTCTAGTTTTTCCGAAAAGTATGTCACTTTATTTTATTTTTGAATTTTTATTTTCTTTAATATGTCTATTTTACAATTTTTTAAATAATTACTTTTCTTAAATGATTCCAATTAGTTTTTATATTATTCAATTTTTTGAAATTTTTTTTATCTTATTTTACGTATTTGTAATAATTTTAATGTTATTGATTTTTTGTAAGACTTGATTTTTTAATATTTTATAAAATAAATTATGTTTTCTATTTAAAAAAGTATATTAAAAAATATTTCTAAAGTTTTTGTTAAAATATTGGTACATACATTTTATTTTTCTAACTTTTTTGTAAAATTAAAATTCATTTTCTTTAATTTTCAAATTTAGTTTACAAATTTCCAATATTGCATTTTTCAGAATTTAATTTTTGATGCTGAGTTTTGTTACATTTTTTTTAATCAATTTCCTTTTTAAATTTTATTGTTTTCTAAGCATTATCAAGAGTTAATGAGTTTTTACATTCCAATTTAAAAATAAAAATTAAAGTTTAGTGCCTACACGTATTTGTTTTTGCAAGGGTAGTGTCTACACGTATTAGTTTGTGAATTGTGAGTGAAAAGGGGAGCAGTACATGATTCAAACTTTGAAGTGCACAGGTGGTGCACGTGTGACGAGAAGAAATTAGAGTCGGTGGTGAGCTTGATACACGTGAATGATCTATTTTTGAAAGAAAAGTTTGAACTTAACAATTTAGTTTATTTGTGAAAGAAACTCTTAAGGATGACAAAAGTGATATTACTTTCAGTTTTTAGTCTATTTCTGAAAAATTCCCAAAAAAAAAGTCCTGCAATGTAAACTAACAAAACCCTTTCATTTACATCGACACTTCGTACAAAAGAATTGCATTTGAAAAATAAGAGTGCAAAAAACAAACAGAAATTCAGTCGAGGAATGGACGAATCTGTGTACATCATAAACTATAAATAGATTAAAGCAAATGAGGTCACGATACTAGTTACGGTATTACAAACTATCTATTGGAAACAATAAACTCAAACATTTATAAAAAATTTAACACCATACTTGCTTGTAGTCTTGTAAAGAGAAGCTCTAGTATAATGGTATTCATATGTATAATATACGCTTTAAGCTCTAGTATAGTTTTCCAATGCAGCTATCGACCCATGACTGCTGACCATGTATGCCGACATCTGACAGCTTCTTGCCGAACAGCTCTCTTTGGATCATCAACTGCTTTTGATATAGCTTGCAAAACCTTGACACCAAACACCAAAAACAGAAAGTCATGAATCTTTAGTAAATGTGGGCGCAAGAAAAGAGCTAAAACTTTCTACAGAATATATCTGAAAGAGATTATTTTTGTAATCTAAATGGAACTCAAAATGACATTTTGCTTTTCATTCAGCAAATCCAATCAAATAAGTTGGTAATTGGTACAAAACCAAAAAAGTCTCACTAAAAAGGCTGAACGGCTAACTAGAAATATTTTATAGGTTCTCAAACAGGAGCTTTGATTTAAAGTCTGCACTTGAGGAGAGCGAAGTGGGGGGAAAGTATACTTGTGAAGAACTGATCTCTTTGGATCGTTTTTAACTTCGATTTCTCATCTCGATTCATATTAGCCGAGCCCAAACTATTTTGGGACTAAGGCTTGGATGTTGTTGTTGGTTGTTGACTCGAGCAGAGTGCCAAGAATTATACTTCCTCTATGCAGACAGCAAAATTTTGTGCAGAGAAACTGTGTGGTTACAACTTGTGCAGAGAGAACTTGACCTTGACTTAAAGTCTGCATTCTACTTTGACCTTTTCCTTTGCACGCTTATTGTGTGTTTACAACTTGTGCAAAGAGAGCAAAATGTTAATCCACAGTATTCTTTCTTTTAAAATGAAAGATGAATATTATTCAAGGACGGACAAAGAAAGGGGCAGCCTTTTTCAGGGATGGAAGGAGTATAAAATTAATATGAGATGCTTTACTCTATCAATCGTATCTGTTAAACTACTGAGTAATGTTGATTTCATAGCTATAAAGGAAGGAAGATGATTCGTAATCAATGTGTCCATTTCATGAATCATGAGCCACAATTTCTGATGATTTCATGTGTGGTCAGTACTGAAATCCATTATATAAACCTTTTTGCCTAGGTGAACTTGGTTTATATTGCAAAATAGTTACTAGGTGGTTAGAGTTGATGCTGCAAAACGGGAAGGATCACATCAAATATCTGATTAGCATTTCATTATTTAACCTCTAAAAACTAACCTCTTTTCTGAAGGGATATATTCTCGATTGGGGTAGACCTGACAAGGCCATAAGACACTGAATTGCTGTTTCACGGACTACCTGAATAATTTGAAAATTCTCAAGCACAAAAATCTTAATAATTTCATACTGGTCAAAGAATGTAGAATAAGTGAATATATGCAAGAAATACCATCATATGAGGATATGAAACGAGTTTAGCAAGTTGGTGGACAACAAGATGAGCGTTTTCATTGACAGCCTCTTGTCCTGCAATAATCAATAAATTAATTTGGGAATTACCTTGCAAACTGTGTCAAAGTTGTTGAAGTAAAGATCACACCTTCTGTATTAGTCTGGTATGGTTTATGGCTATTAGGTGCGCAATTGGTCATTACACTAACAAATAAAATGTAAAATTCAAATATATATTCAAATATATATATGCATCCTCGAATTCTAGCACACTCATTGCCTCTTGCAAACAGTAGTAGGGACTTAGGGTAGGTTGTAAGAATAAATAATCCACTACCTCCATCCCCATAAAGAGTCTTATTTGAGAAAAACAAATTCTTTTACATTATTTGTTAGGTTTAACCACATGTAACATACGTAGTATTTAACTAATTAATATGTTGGTGATTGTTAGAACCGATATGAGAGGCTCGAAAAGAATAGCATTCATCATTTGATTGATACTAATTTTGGCAAGTAGCTCAAACAGAATGGTGTTCCCTTGGTTTTAGTGACTTTTAGCGGGTTTCAAAAGAATGGCATCGCTGACTTATAATTTTTGCCTACCTACCTTATTTTGCTAAGTCATGGAAAATTTTAGCAGATTACCATGTCGTTGAGGGGTATTGGAATATATTAGAATAATATAAATAGTTCCCTAAATCCTAATAATATATTTGTTTCCTTAGTTTCTATAGGTTCCCTTGTTTCTATATGTCCCCTTTCTGTTTGAGATAGTCCAATGCATGGATAACCTCTTTTATGATTAAAAAGAGCAAGCCTTTGCCCATAATTTTCTATCCTAAAACAATTGATGCTGAGGAATCCATGGACTTAAATGATGATTCAAATTAGTAAATCCAAACTACTTCACAAAGATAAATATTTTCATGTTTCCTAGTGCTTCTTTCCGACCCCAAACTCTTAAGGATTGGATGTTGCTTCTTACAATAAAAATCAGGGAATGCATAAACGCAATTTATTGGTGAAAAAGAATATCTGTTAAGCATTTCCAGTAACTAGACATACCACATACTGCCTAATATGGTGAGAGCACAATCACATAGTGAATAAAATTAATATTACAGAGTAATACTTTCAGCATAACAGGATAGATTCTTGTAAGAGTACATACCAACTTTATCCATCAATACTCCAGATAGGACTAATAAGACACTGAAGATGATATCTTTATCATGTTCATCATCTTGCAACATTAATAGGCAATCTAGTAGCACAGGGACAACCTACGAACAAGTTTATATTTGTAATTAACTTGCGGTACATAGCACCACCTGATCATGTTTGTAAATATAAAAACCCAACCTTAAATATTTTCTTTACAGATAAGGTTGACAAAATGACAGTAGCAGTAGGCCAGTAGCACCATGCACAGGTGCCACCTCCGACAACAGCAGACCACCGCTATTGTCTAAAGCCGCAACCGAAGATGACTACTATTGTGTCATGTGCCTCCTTCGACTATCTGGTGTTGTGACTGATGGTGAGTGCTACTATCCAGCACCACCTCCTATGGTGGGTGCTACTATCTGCCTAATCTACTACCAGAGAGGATAGCAATAGTAGTACCGGTATGACTACTTCTCAGCCACACTGGTTGTCCTTATTTGTAAGAGATTATCCTTACATATCTAGTTTCAAATGTATCATATGTCATACTATCATCCGGAAAAAGCCTCTCTGTACCTTTAGTACATGAGTAAGATTGCGTACATCTGACCCCCCCCCTTACCCCATCATAGGTGGGAGCCTTTGCGGCACTGGGGTAATGCAATTATTGTATCTAGTTTCAAATGTAGAACAAAATTTGGTGGTTTCTTTCTTTAATATTGCTACTTATCTTACCTTTCGGGAATCATTAACAACAGCGGTGAGAGGAGCACCAGTGATCAAATGTGAGAAAGCTCTGTACAGTAAGGATCTGAAACCAAAAGAAAATTAATAAATCTGAACCCAAGCAAATATAAGATTCTAAAGCCTAAAACTATTTGTGCTCCTTATCAATTAAATGTAACCACGGCAATTTGCATTTTTAACATCTCGAGAAACCCCCCCTTTAGATACCTTCATCTTCTAGAGAGTATCTACCATTGGGCAGGTGGCTTACAAGCAAAAGTCCATTCTTTTGTACGTTATATGTTTGGGCATCTCCACAAGGAGGAGCAATTTATACTAAATAAACACAATAACTGAGGCAGAACTTTTACATCAAAAACTAAGAGCTCGTTTGGTAGCACAAAAATCGGCTGATTTGGCTGATTCTGCTGAAATTTACAAAGTTTTGGCTGAAGTGGCTGCATTGGTTGATTCAGCTGATTTAAGAAAAAATTATTTTTAAAATATATTTTATTAATAAAATAAAGAAAAAATTATATGTGAAAATTGATAAAATGGTCATCTACAGTAGCTTCATTCAATACAGCCAGAAAAGTAACTCCAACCTTACTTTTTTTTGCTTAGTACACAATTCAGCGCGCCAAAGCAAAAGTTACGTGTTTGGTGAAAAAGTTGATTGATAAGCCTGATGAGCTGAAAAACAGTGTTGCCAAACGGCCTCTAAGTTGATGCTAAAAATTGAATCTAGGTGTACGGAAGTAGAATAAACTTCCATGCTCAAATCATTAAAAAACATGCAAATATAGAATACACTCGGAACCAAAATCTTCCAGAAACTATGCATCGATGCTAAAAACCGAATCTAGGTGTACAGAAGTTCTAGCCTGATTAAGAATAGTCACATTCAAGAATCCAGGAGTATGTTAAGAAAGCTAAGAGAATGAAAGAAAGACACTAAACTAAGATCAAAATATTCATTTTAGAATGACAGTTTTAAGTTAAATAAAAAAAAAAGGTTCACGTAGACTTGACAAAATAGAGGATCTCAACCTGAAAATGGAAATATCTGGCTTCTATGTTCTAATATCTACCTTTAGTCTTAAGCTATTCTATGTATGTCCATAGAACCACTACGACGATTCCAGTCTCCACTACTACAAAAGCAGGATAGGGGTGCAACTTTTATGTAGCAGAATGATTTTTAAAAAAATGTTCATGACCATTTCTCAATACATACCGTGTAGTTGGTGAATCACATTCCAAAATTGATGATAATAATATAGGCAACATCGTACTGTAAAATCGTTGCTTATGAAGTGGTCGAATAGTAGCATGATATTTTCTATTCAAACAAGCTTCAGAATCACTCATAAGAACATGAAATGCATCAGCGGCGGATTTCCTCAAAGACAGCCTTTCTAGCCCTTCATTGTCTTCCACCAGAGCGTCTGAGTCTTGAAGGGTCCCACCATTTCCATTTAATAGTATGCAACTCAAGAAGGAACTAGTAATGCCTTTTATCATTTGATGACCACGCATAAGTAAACCTTTCCCTATCCAGGCTAATCCAACAATAGCATGAGCAGTACAACACACATAATGGCCATTTAACCTTAGCCTACTGAAATTTATATAACCACCATTGTCCATAAGAGAGCACTTATTTCCATCGTAAAAATTGCAGGAATCCCAGATTTCTTCGTTAAACAATGCATCTATAGCTTCTTCCAGATTAATGTTTTTTTCATCGGTTTCTAAAGGCAGTTTGTTAACCAAAGACCCCAATGCCTGAGCTGATGGAATGTGACCTCTGAGGAGGTTCATTAAAAAGAACTCCAATAACAGTTTAAGATTTGGTACGTGACTTTGAGGGCGTAAAGCTATTATGACTGAGGCAATAAGTGACGCAATGCATTCATCTCTGCATGAAATTTCATCCAAGAATCTAGTAAGTTGTCCGTCACTGGAGTTGAATAATGTAATACAAGGTTTTGAATCCTCAAATGAATCTGAAGAAATCAAGTCAAAAGCTCTTATAATAATTTTCTCCTGGTTTCTCTCTGAACAGTTGGCTACGGCATGTTTCAGCGCTCTCGTTATCGCGTCAAGAAGTTCCTGAATGAAGAGTATTATATGCATAGAATCAATAATCAATCCATAACTCAATTGCATCTGATACCAATAGAAAACTGATAACATAGACTAGTCAATATAGCATTTAATGCTAAATCAACTGACAGTGTTAAAAACATCAACTCACTTACAGTTTCCTGAAAACCAATGCTGGAACGCAAACTTGTTTCAATATTTTCCAATATAACAAATGCAAGATTCAAAGGGACTTCATCAGAACCTCCATTGTTATGAAACCTGGAGACATGAAAAATCATTTTACATCACCAGTTACGGTTGTATGGCAAACTGTGGTATTTTAATATAAAAAATGCAAAGCGCTGAGTTATGTCACCACAGAGACTAAAGCACATCTTGGATTCAAAGCGGGTGCTAAGGATTACAAATTGACTTATTATACTCCTAATTACCAGACAATGATACTGATTTCTTGGCAGCATTTCAAGTAACTACTCCGCCGGAGCCCCCCTTGAATAGGCCTGTCAATGGGTCGGGTCTAGACCCGGACCCGACCCGGATCCGTCTTTTTTTAATGGATATGGGTCTATATTTTTCCCCGTTACCCGGATCCGGACCCGTTATTAAATGGGTCGGGTATGGTATATGTGGTTCCGATCCGTTTAGGACCCGACCCGTTATATATACATATATACCCTGTATATAATATGTCACCCACATTACTATTACGTACTATAGTTAAATCCTAAGCATTTAATATTACTATTTACCCTAATACTCCGTACTACGTATCTTACAAGTTATTCCATATAAAGTAACTCACAAAGAACTAGAGAAGGTAAAGAGGCTTATATCAACTTACCAAACTCCTTGAGATTTGTGTTTTTGTAAAAGTCAAATAGAACTTATTTTGGATTTTATTTTTCTATTATTATCGTAGATTCAAAGAGACTCTTTGGATAAACCTTAGGTTTTTGCAGATTCAAAGAGAATAGATTTAATGCACCTTACGTGTTCAATTTTGAATGCGTAGATCTGGAGTCATCATGTTTATATTGTTGGTTTGTGTCGAGTAATTACAAACATGTAATTATAGTGCACTGTACTATTCCCAAAAAAGACTTGGTAGTAAGAAGTCATGTTTTTTTATTTAAGAAATTGGAGTTAAGATTCTTGTGAGACGGGTCGGGTCTACCGACCCGGTTCTGATACCCGATGGGTACGGGTCCGGAACATTAGTTCTAGACCCGCCGGGTATATGGGTCGGGTCCGGAACAATATAGAGGCTAACGGGTCCGGGTCTGGAGCACTATATTCCGGCCCGAACCCGACCCGTTGACAGGCCTACCCTAGAAGAGGGGGGGGCTGCAGTAGCTGCAGAATCTTCTACTAAGACATGGACAACCATGTGGACCGATGAACTTACCAGCTTTCATCGGCACACAATGGCTTACTTGTGGAAAAAGGATGCAAAGAATAGAGCTAGTTGATTTTAAATTGGAACATCAAGTACAGTCTTAGTAAAAAATTGTCGTTTGTAGTCCTTTGGAAACTTGACATGCCTAATCAATAACCACTAGCCAGTGTCAATGGATTATGGATCATATGTTAATTGTTAAACAAGTACTACGAATTTAGCAAAGAAGCATAAAATATCCAACAATGTTAGTAATTGGAGAATTTGATGCACATATATCAGTAAGAAACAGTATGGTTCAATGTTGAGCAGGTGGTGGAGAATGGCCACCTGCATAAGTTGTAAAATATCTCATTTGTGACAAATTAAAAAAGAGTATTACCCGAAATAGGACTAGAAAGGTTGGAAAATTCCAAAATAGGACTGCCATGTTTTTATTCCCAAAATACGACTAATTACTGCCATGTTTTGGCAGTACCAGACTTCAAATATGGCAGTATTTTCCAAATGTGGCAGTAATTACTCCTATTTTGGTTTTGGGAATAAAAAAACATGGCAGTCCTGTTTTGGAATTTTCAAACTGTTTTAGTCCTATTTCGGGAACTTTCCCATTAAAAAATCAAGGGTTAGATGAAGATACTAGTGTAGAAGGTAAGGGCTACAGATAATAGCACGTAGAGACTGAGAGCAGATGCATGCCATGAAAGGACCTTCCCAGCATAGCAGTCCAATAGTGAGATTGTCATCCGGATCAACTTCACATTCTCACTGACCTGCCATAGCACGTATTAATTAAAAGATAATCATGAGCACAATAATGAAAAAAAGAACTGGGATGCATGTTAAAGCCTTTGATGTCAATGCCTCATGGTATGTATTCTCTAACACCGTCTGATGATGACATTACATAGCAAAATTTTATATGAACAACTGGATTCTAAGCCGCCTCAGCATGTCAACTTATTGAATATGTTGACCAACAATATACGTACAAATACATGAGACAATTTGTCAGATAGTGTCTTGTCCAATTCCTGAACTACTTTCTTCATATACTTCAGCCCAGTAACTCCAATATCAAAACTTGCTTGGAGTTTGAAAGACAGAGGCACGGTATGGTCATCCGAAGATATCAGGAAAGCAAGTTTTTCCATGACAATACTTTCAAAGCTTGAAACTTTCTCAACTTCACAGAACTTATCAATATACAAACCAATATCTACTAAAGCTTTCAATGCAGTTCTCGATAAAAATGTTTTGTCAAAATCAGTAGTGATTACTGATATCAAAGTTAACAAAACATTCTCAAAAATAGGCATTGGCACTGAACTGAAGCTTCCCGGAAACATAGCAAGAGTCTTCAAACCATTAACTGCATTGGGTAAAAAACAGAAAGGTGGGTGAAACTTGTCAAAATCAACAAACAACAACAACATTACCCCAGTGCCGCAAAGGCTTCCACTTACAGTGGGGTAAGGGGGGTCAAATGTATGCAGTCTTACCCCTGTACTAAAGCACAAAGAGAAAGTGTAAAAACAAACAGTGTTTCATATAAGAGTGTTTCTCTATACCTGCATAGTAAATATACACATTCGGCAAGCTTTCAGCACCAGGTGCGTGTAGGAGAGAAATTAAGAAAACGCTTAATGAAGTAGAGAAGCCACGTAGTATGCCGCACCAAGGCATACTGGGAAAATCAGGAGAAGGCACTATACCATCATAGCTCAACAACACCAAATGTCTGCATGCTGACAGTAGTTCAACAGAGAGATACAAGGCTCCAAAATTGAATGTTGTACAAGTAAGAATGATATCTTTAGACACAGTATCATCAGAAATTTTTAATGCATCCATTAAGAGAGTGAATACGCTTTTGAAAACTGCATCACAAGAAGCTACACAAGATCTGGCAGGAGTTGAGAGAATACAAGCAACTGCATGCAATCTCTGTTTGTTTTGTAGAGAAGCATTACCAAGATCTTTCAACTCATTCAATGAGTTTATAAATGTCTTTATGTCTTCATCATCCAGAATAGTACTTACGAAAGAACCATTACTTTGCTGAACAATTGTCTGAAGCAGCTCTACAGCTTGAATCATTATTTCACTCTCTTGAAAATATATACCATCAACTAATCCAGATTCTATTAACACTGCAGATTGTGGTTTGACAAATATTGTATCTTTCAGTGCCGACCAAAGAGCTGCATAATGCTTTTGCATTCTATCCGCCCCATATTTCAATGTGCAGTAGCTAAGGAACTTGAGAGATTCAACCTGCTTCAACAGAGAGTTAAGAAATGAATAAAGGTATTCAATTTTGGTTTGAATCCCAATGCTTAACAGTGATTTGTACACTTGAACTAACCTTTGTTGACGGCAAATCAGAAGATAGTTTCTCAAGAAGTAATGGAATTACATATGGTTCAAAACAAGGTGTAGACGCAAATGCCAGCTGGAACACACACACAAAAAGAGATGAAAAAATGAATATGATGCTCGTGTAACCATAAAAGTGAACCCAAAACAAGATGCAATAACAACAAAGCAGGTACTCAAATGATAATAATGGTACCAAATGTATGGGAGGCAGCATCCCTGTTTGGTTTGGAAGAAATTGAGAAACCCTACTTAGAGGGGGTTGTTATTGATTCTAGCGCACAGACTGTAAGTACTACGTCATTAGACAAGCTTCTGGACAAAATGTTTAAAAGACCTACTATTCACACTTTTAAGTTTCTTTTTAATAGGAATTCTTTGCCACACTTCTTTTAGTACCCCCCTTGGTGCCTTAGTTTTTAGTGGTATTATACACACACACACACACACTACTTGTACTGTTCCAAGTAAAATATAGATATTGATTCTGTTCCAAGCTTCTTTAGTGTGAATCAATCTAAAAAACCAAGTCAATTTGAAATCAGCAAACATACATTAATTAATGGGTGATGGCTATTGGAATCTCAAGATAGGTATATATCCTAGGAAAATTAGGACATTGAAGAAATAAGATGCAATTGGCACGTGTCTCATCAAATAGATCTAATCTAAATATCTAATATGTACTGCTTAAGACATCTCAACATTTCTCTAAAACAATTTGTTTTACTAACTAATATGTTTCGATACAGACTGAATAATAGAAATATTGGTAAAAAAAAAAGGCACAGAAGAGTTTCCAAATGGAAGGCTTGATGGTAGAATAGAGTACATTTCAGACAAAGGCGTACCATCAGTGCCTGTGAGAGCTCCTCCCTCTTTATATCAACATCCTGGCTTTTTGACTGGATATTAGAAAGAACAAATGCAGCAGCATCAGAAAGAAAAGTAAGAAGTGATAAGAACAAACAGCAACATAACCAATTAAGGGATCTAGCATTAGATTCTAAGTTCATTAAAAATTGTTTTATCCTTTTCAAGTAATAACTAATAAAATAAACCTAAATAATAGCGAGATAGCATCAACAAAATAAAGTAAGAATAAATTTGGTGATCTCACATGTGTATAATGGATAGGGAAGTAACACCCAAGAATCTCAAAAAGATCTTCGGCATAACTTGCTAGTGAACCACAAGAATGAGGAAACACCCGCGCTAGAGCTTCAACAATCCTAAATATGAGCATCAAGCATTGTGGATCTTTTTCACCATCAATCGATTCACAGATTCCATAAACAAGGACATCACCCTTGGGCACCACCAGAAAGAAGAAACAATTTATTTGGTTACCAATCATAGCAGAGTCTTGTGCTTAGAAAGATGTCAAAGAACTAGTTTAAAGATTTGAAATAACAGAAAAACCATCAGGAAATATAAGTGGGTGTCACAGCAAAATTCATGGCCTGTTTCGAAAAGGGGAAATTTTCATTTTCTAGGAGAAAAAAAATGGATATAGAAAAAAGAAGAAATCTGGCTTTTGGGTTCAAGTTCAACAATTCTCCTAGCTGTAGAACAAGAACTGGTTAACCACTTATATCCTTGTAAGAAAGTTGGAAACCAAAGCAAACTTCTACATTTGATTTGTCACGAGCCTAGTGAGAATACAAAGTTTAGTTCTTAGCCTTTTCCTTAAATCAATTTATCGATACAGAGGCTTAGTTATTTACTCTGCTGCATAGATTAAGGCACAATATTTTCAAAGTGCACCTCATTCAAGTGTCTACTTTTGGACATATCATCACAATGAAAGCAGACAGTTATTGCAATGTGCAGTTACTAAATTCAAATGAAATTAAAAACTTAAATTTTCAGATATTTTGTTTACCATGATGACAGAAGTAAAAATGATCAGACAGTGGATTTACCATTGGTTCGACTGCATCTGGAAAGCTGTTTAATAAGCATTCCAAAATTTGAAAGCAAAGCTGCAAGAATGGAATATGCTAGCTCAGAAGGAAGATTTAAATAAGCTAAATCCATATGCAGGAAGGAGTTAGTTTGCTTGAGTTTGATGGACAAATCACCAATGATCCACGATAAAACTTACTGTACGTCTGTACCTTTCTTTCATGTCGTCCCAAAGATTGCACTTGCATAGTCTCCAAAAAAGATTGTGCAACAGCCTTTGCTTGGCTGTCTGTGACCTTGCCAACAATGTGTTTCCTTCTCAATAGTGCCAAGCAACCAACTAGAGCGCCATGCAAAGCTTTCCAATCAACCTGATATGAGTAGAAGTTCATCTATCAAATAGAATTCAAATGATAACTGACAGGGGTTATTGCCATGCAAAACAAAATGATGGAAGATATCATGGCGAATTGGCAATAATTGGATACATTCAGCACAAAACTAGAAATGGAAAAAAAAAAGAATATTTTGTTTTACTATTCTAGACTATATTGTTGCCTCACCAATCTCTCTATGAAGAATCCTGTCAAACTCTGTATAGCAGCACCTTTTAAAGGTTTCAGTGATAATTCCTCCAATACATGCCCAAGGAGAAGGATCCCTGGAAGGCACCACATCGAACCAAACACATGAAAGATACTGAAAAAAGTAATCACAATTTTTTTTATTACTTTCTACCCTCATCAGGGGATGGATGTATTATTTTTCACGTTACTGAAATTTTGTTATTTCAATATTATATATTTATACACATATACACACGCACACACAATATGCCTAATATACATATATTCGTACAGTATATAAATATAATATAAACAATGTGTTAAGCCAATTTCTCTATATTAGTTATTTAGCCAACCATTGGAATCTTCTTTGACTTGTGCTATATAACTCAAAAAGAGGGGGGCAATGTATCATGTTAATTCACAATGGGACAGTAACCTGCACAGCCCCAATTAACTAATACTATCTCCGTCCCATATTGGATGTCTTGTTTTAGTTTGGTTCGAATGTACGATTATTAACAAAGTGGTTGAAAAGTAAAAGTTGTAGTTGAGATTTGAGTAGAATAAAGTGAAATGATATGGACTGCATATTTCTTGCCAACAAAGGAAACAGGACATTCATTTTGGGACAACTCAAAAAGGAAAGTAAGACAACCAAATTGGGACATGAGGGAGTAATAAGTATTACTACAATAAGCACCCTAAACATTGAAATTAAATAATCATATAAGGAAAATTCATGTTTTAAGCAACAGATGGAAGTGATTTCTACTAATAAATATAGATACTAAAAACTAGAACTCTAAAAGCATTGGAATTATTGAACCATTTGGTAGAACCCCCCCCCCCCCCTCCCCGATGCTAAAATTTGTAATGATGAATCAAGAATGACTGAAGTAGTAAAAATGAACAGAAAGGGCCATTCAGCTTGAGTTCTTCCTGAAGACATCCTAACTGAAAGATAATTTATGTCAACCTTTTAGTATTGCATGGTAAAAAGATATCAAGTTCCAAACTCAGGAAGTAAGGTAGAATTGGTAATAGTATTTGGGAGATGAAAGTGGGAATATATTCACACATACTATGTACTGCTTATCTATTTTTGAACCCTTTTGTCAGATGTGCAACAATATCAGTTATAAGCTACCAGTGGTCATATTGTTTCTCAGAATTAACCCCAAAACAAATACATTACTCTGTATAACATAAGAGAATGGTACCTCTTGAGCGAATGATGGTATCTGTAGTCGTCAAATACATATCCATCTCCCTAACCTATAAGTAAACAGTGTTCCATTCCCAAGCAATGAGAAACACAGCTAATTACATAAAAATTGTCGATTCATAGGGGAGAACTTAATAAACATACCAGTCCGTCTAATGTTAACTGGTCATTTTTCACAAGCGAAGCTATATTTTCTACACTTGCAGCCTGTAACCCAAACACATTAACAGAGCACATTAACTACGCATACAAGGCCGTCTGTACTGAATTACAACCAAAGATAATTGTTCAAACAAATTCATAGAAAATATACGCATAGTAGTGAACTCAACCAGCGTATATAGCCAGGTGGAGATTCCTGAGTTGCTCAGCCAAATTAAACAGAGAGGCAGAAAAGAAAACCATGAAGATTGGGCATGAACCTGTTGGGCAGGAGAGCTAGAAGAGCTGACGAATGATTCAATGTGCTTTACACAATTGCTGGAAACAGCCATTCGTAGAGAGAGTTACAGCATTACTGGAGGTTCAGCGCTCGAGGTTTAAGACTTTCTTTTAAGGGTTTTGTGGTTTGTCCCAGCTGCGATGTGAAAGGCTCAGTCCTCCAGTCGCGCACTAGTGCCGTAGTGTCAGCAAACGAGGAAAACTTTTGAATATTTGAATAAAAAGATCTTAAATGGGAATGGTTGTAATAAAGATTCTATAAAAACTGACCAAAAAAAAGTCAAATAAGCCCTTATTTAAGAGGCTTTGTACGGCCGTCGTCATTTGGGGTGGTTCCCGGTGGAATTTTTTTATGAAATTTTTTGAGCATCTTACTCAGCAAGTCTAGTTTACGCATACCAAATTTCAGCTAAAACGTCAATCGGGAAGGCATTCAAATGAATTTTTGAAGATAACTGCGCAGTTATCTTCTCATGGGCCTATTTGCACCTTTTCTCATTTAATTTTGTTTAGGACGTTTTCTTTTGGACTGAAATTTGCTGGTCTGGTCTGATCTGGTCTGGTCTGGTCTGGTAAACGTCTGGTCTCTGTGTATTTTATAACTACGGAAGTCAAGTCTGGTCTGATCTGGTCTGGTCTGTGACTGAAAACAGTCCAAAAGAAAAAATCCTTAGTACCAAGTACTGTATAACAAATTCGGTAAAAGTTTGGAAGGATAACTGGCTTTTTTATTCTAAAGATTGCAGGCCGGCTTGAAACGAGATTGAGGGGCTGGAGGACATCTTCGTGAAGTCCCTCGTGTTAAATGATGGAATAGGTTGGGACTACGACTTATTAGATGATCCTTTTCAACCGGAAGAAAGAAACCTCATAGCAAGCATTCCATTGAGGCCAGAACAAGGAGAGGACGAACTCATTTGGGCGGATGACGACAAGGGTGTCTACTCAGTCCGCACTTGTTATAAGCGAATCACCCATAGTACGTTGCCAGATGTTGGCTGGACGAAGATATGGAAGCTTGATATACCTCCGAAGGTAAAAAATTTCTTTTGGCAAGCTTGTGTGGATTGTTTACCGAGTAAACAACGGTTGATTCAACGTAGAGTTCCGTTATGGCCAAAATGCTTGATATGTGGGCATAAAGAGGAAAGCTCCCTTCATGTCCTTCAAGACTGCACCTTTGCTCGGTCGGTATGGCACAACAGGGGCAGCAGCTTTTTGTAGATTCCAGGCCACGACTTTGGGGTGTGGGCATCTTCGGTGGCAACCAGTAGCACGAAGGCTGAGTTCGGGAAGTTTGTCATGATCTGTGTTGGAGCTTATGGAAGGCGCGGAATGAAAAAGTTTGGAAAATTTTAAATCCAAACATGTAAGGTGTCATTGCTTGTGGCGAAACCGTGCTAGACGGATGGAAAGCTGCACAAATTTCCGCCCCCCAGGAGCTGACTTCGGCAAGGCATAGCGAAATGTGGAAACCACCGGAAGAGGGGTGGGTGAAAATAAATGTGGATGTCGCTACCTCAAATATAGGTGATATAAGAGGGTTGGGGCTGGTGGTATGAGATAGTCTGGGGTTTTTTCTTGTAGGAAAAAACATTTGACGGAAGGGTAGATATGCATCAGGCACGACGGAAGCAATGGCTATTGAGGAAGCGGTCAAGTGGGCGTTAGAGCAAGGATGGCAACGGGCTGTCGTGGAATCAGATGCTAAACAGATTTTGCAGGGACTTGCTCAGGAAGACGGTTTACACAACAATGATATCATCTTTAGAAATATTAGACATGTGATGGTTGATTTTACCAATATAAGTGTCCAATATGTGCACCGTACAGCGAATCAGGCGGCTCATATTCTAGCTAGAGAGGTTTGTTCTGGGTCTGGCGGTACTTGGTTGGATTCTCCTCCTGATTGTATTATTCATGTTTTGAACAATAGTGATTAATAAAGTTATTTGATTTTCAAAAAAAAAATTATAGTGAGTAATTTGTCCATGTTTGGTATGCATAAATTCCTATCTTCTAGCTTCTATACTATTTCATCGGTCCTTGCATCACCGATAGTGATAATCAGTCTTTACCAATGTTCTAAAAGGCGCTAGGCGCTAGGCGGGCGCCAGCACAGCGCCTAGCGCCTAGGCGGCTAGGCGGGCGCCTAGGCGGGGATTAATCGGAGGCATACAAATGATAGTTTTATTAATATGTTTGCATATATATTATTAGTGATGTTGTGTTTATGTGTATATAAAATATAAAGACACGCATACACACTAACATGCATGCATGATAAGAGTTTTCACATTTAATAACATATTATACATACTTACTTCTTAACTTCAAGTAATTCTACGTAATTATTATTGATAAATAATAATAACGCTTAAGAATATATAAAACACGTATAGAATTTATTTTAATCTACAACTAGTAGCTTTCTTCATATGCGTTGTTAGAGTTAAAGATACATACTCTGTATGCCTAGGCGGCCGATTAAGCGCTCTAGGCGGGTAGTTAGGCACCTTAGGCAGCCGACTAATTCACCTAGGCGCCAAATCAATTAGTCGGGGCGCCTAGACTAAAATCGGGGCGCCCAACTACTGCCTAGCGCCTAGCTGGGGACTAGTTGGGCGCCTAGCTACTAAGCTTCCGCCAGGTAAGAAGGCACTTCAAAATTAATGGGTATCCAGAATCAAGGATGAACCTGATCGGTCAAAACGGTACAAAGCCCGTTTAATTTAATGGTCAAAGATTTTCAGCAGAAAAAGGGAGTGAATTATAATGAGATCTTTTCTCTAGTGAATAGAATGACCATCATTAGATTGGTTCTAAGTATTGTAGTTGCAGAGGGCTTACATCTAGAGCAACTAGATGTAAGACAACATTTCTACATGGCGATATTGATAAGAATAGCTACAACTCACAGCCTGGTGGATTTCAGGTTGCTGGCAAAGAAAATTTGGTTAACAAACTAAAACAGAGCTTATATGGTCTGAAACAAGCACCAAGGCAGTGGTATCTGAAGTTTGATAACTTCATGATAAGGACAGGGTAAAGAAGATGTGAGATGGACCATTGTTGTTACGTGAAGAGGTTCAATAGTTCATATATCACTCTACTACTCTATGTAGATGATATGTTGATAGTTGGTGCAGATATGATAGAGATCGGCATGTTAAAGAAACAATTGTCTCAAGAGTTTGAAATGAAATATTTGGGTCTAGCCAAACAGATACTCGGGATGAGCATAGTCAAAAACAAGGAGAATGGTTCTTTAACACTATCCCAGGAGAAGTAAACCAGGAAAGTGTTAGAGAAATTCAATATGAATGGCGAGAAGACAAAATCGAGAAACACGTCGTTGGGAAGTCACTTCAAGCTTATCAAAGACCATCCTCCGAGAACGGACCAAGAGAAAATAGATATGGAAAGTTCCTTTGGTATCTGCGGTCGGTAGCCTCATGTACGTTATGGTGTGCACAAGACCAGATATTGTTCATGCAGTCGGGGTTGTTAGTCGCTTCATGTCAAATTCGGTGAGAGAACATTGGGAAGCAGATAAATGGATACTTAGGTATTTGAAGGGTACTACAAAGTGGGGTTATGTTTCAGAGGTAAAGACATAATTCTGAGAGGATATTTTGATGCTGATTTGGGTGGATGCAAAGAGACATTTAAAAGCACTACGGGGTACATTATCACAGTGGGAGGAGCTGCGGTTAATTGGATGTCGAAACTTCAGAAAAGTGTAGCACTTTCAACAATCAAAGCAGAATACATGGTAAATATTTGTTGAAGCCACTAAAAAGTTGGTTTGGTTGAGAAACTTCCTTGAAGAGTTAGACAAAAAGCAAGCAAGTTACTCATTACATTGTGATAATGAGAGTGCAATGTAACTAGCCATTAGATTGGTTCTAAGTATTGTAGCTGCAGAGGGCTTACATCTAGAGCAACTAAAGAGTTGGGTTGGTTGAGAAACTTACTTGAAGAGTTAGACAAAAAGCAAGCAAGATACTCGTTACATTGTGATAATGAGAGTGCAATGTAACTAGCCAAGGATTGAGTCTATCATGGGAAAACAAAGCACGTTGGGATGATATATCATATTGTTAGAGGGTTGATCAGGGGAGGAATAGTGAATTTGAAGAACATCTCAGGTGCAAAGAATCCAGCAGATATATGTTCACTAAATTTGTGACACCGGACAAGCTGAAGTTCTGCGTAACTTCAGCTGGCCTTCAAGAATAATGTTGAGAAGACAGGTGGCAACTAAGAGGAGCTAAACCACATATGAAGTTTACAGAAGTACAAAGGAGTGGATTGCAGCTGATCGTGTCTCAAAGCCTCCAAGTGGGAGATTGTTGGGTTGTAGGCTTCGGCCTACTCAGATTTGAGAGTCAAGTAAACAAAGAGTAACAGCCAGCCTAGTTAAATGTGCATGCAGCCAGCAACCCTAGTTGGGTTTGTTTCTTTGGTAGCAGTCAGGCCCAGAACTTTATTAAGTGTTTACCCTAATTGTTTGCATATAGTTTATATATATATATATAGAATAGAGATCAAATACAAAGCCTTCTTAATTTACAAAGTACAAACTCATCTTGACCGTCCGATGAGTTGATCCAAATGACATAAAGGCAAGGTGGCATTTTTGTAATAAAACCCAACTTTTTAGGGTGCAACTCGTTGCACCTTAATGTGCAACTGTTATTTTTATGACTTTATAATGTGCAATATTTTGAACCTCAATATGCAATGCAAATAACGTCAAAGTGCATCGTACAAATATTTGCACAATAAGCACACTTTGTACTTGATCTTTCCCCTATATATATATATATATATATATATATATATATATATATATATATATATATATATATATATATATATATATATATATATATATATATATATAGGGGAGGGTTCTAGTGAGAACCCCTCCTAAAATGAGAACTCTTTATAATAAGAACTTTAAATCTCAACTTTTCATTAATCGCAATCAATGATTATGATTCACATGGGGTCATATTCATAATTATCCCAAATTCAAAAGGGGTTCTTATGCAATTAATCCACCTTGTCATTATTAACCATTGATGATAAAAATTAATGATGGAGATTAGAAGTTCTCATTTTAAAATGAGTTCTCATTTTAGAAGAGGTTCTCACTATAACCCTCCCCTATATATAAGGAGAGAAATAAGAATAGATATCAGCCCTTGGATTTTGTTTTTTTTTTTTCTTACTTCCCGTGCGTTCTTCATTAAGGGCAAATCAAGGATTTATCATCTTACCATCCTTAGCACACCGTTTGTTTCCATAACTGCCACCTAGAATCTTGCTCCATCTACACGGTTTATTAATCATTGTTCTTCATTTTCTTTACTGTTCTTTTTTATTGGACTTCAACCCCACCACCTTCTTCACCTTGCTTGACACATATGGTGGCGGCGACCTCTGCAACGCGGCCAACGCCGGAGAGGAGAAGAAAGACAATATTTTTCTATAACATTTTTTAATATTTTTCCACTAATATTTTTTTCGTATGTAAACAATTTGAGTGTGCCATTATTTCAATTCAGGTTTTTGTTGAGCTTTATTTTTTAAATTCATGGATTGTTGTTGAAGATTGAACTTCAACTTCTCTGTAATATTGATCAAAGTACATGTATATGAATTGATCATCTATTGGACTGTTGGGTTCATCTAAAATTTTGTAATACTAAATATTTTTTAAAGGAAAACGTTGGTTGATTCATCATACGTTCAAGACATCATATGCTGGATTCATCTTTTTAGTAATCTTAATAATTAATTATAATTAATTGTTACTGCACTTATCATACTTCGGTCTGCACTTATCATACTTTGGTTTGCAGTTTCGTTTGTTTCTAATTTTTTACTTCTTTTGCAGGGTGTTATGTCAATGGAAAAATTATGATTCATTTGGAAGAAAAAGTGCATTGAATTTTGTAAAAAGTGTCAATGTAAAATAATAGAAAGTATGATATAATAGTACATTTTTGTATATGTCAAATGCACAAGATAAAAGTGCACTTCACTTGGTCCAACATGTTACATCTACATTCATTAATAGTGCAATGTTATGTAGATATCTGTGCAAATTATTATACGCATTATAATTTTATTTGTCTATCACACATATGATAGAAAAGGAAAATATAGAATGGATCGGAGAATGCTAAATATGTTTAAAATCAATCTAATGGTCTAAACTCTAAATGCTCTCACTTTTTTAAAAATTAGGTGTTTTATCCATAGTCCCGTTGATAATATGTTAATTCAATTTTTAATTGTTATGTTGTTTGTTCTAATGTTTGACTACTTATATTGCCTTGTTATGCACTAGAATAGATTACTCCATTAGTGTGTTGTTATTAATATGCATCGGGCAGAGGGGGGATTAAGCTTGCACAATGACAATTGTATGGTGCACTTGTTGAGTGTGTTTCGGAAAATAAAGAAAATTAATTAAAATAAATTAAATAAATAAAATGACAAGAGAAAAACAAGAAAGGAGATGAAGCAGAATTAAACAAAGCTCGTGCTACGCACGATTTCCTTAAAACGTATTTGTTGCCTCCCACGGTGCTAGGAGCGTTGCAACAATAGTTTCCCAGGATACGATGACTACGAACTAATGTTTGAGCACACAAACAAAAGTTCCAGCGAACGAGAACAAGTCTGAACAGTGTGTTTTTAGAGCTAAAACGTGCATGGATTCGTGTAAAAACGTGTGTTGTTGCAAACCACCTGCCAGCCATTATATAGGAGGATTTGTTGTGTGTAAATGGTGAATTAATGGACCTGAACGTTGGACATCAATGACCAGTCTGTTGGGCATTGAATCGTCCATGAACTGTCCATTTAACGCTGCATTAAAGGATATAAACGTTGGGCATTTATTGCTGTAACGGGTTCAGAAGTGCGACCAGAACTCTACGAGGTGTTCTGGTCGAAGCCACCAGAATACCTATGTGAGGTATTCTGATCGAGGCCATCAGAGACCGACGTGTTCTGGTGGAAGCCACCAGAGACCGAGGTGTTATGATGCCACCAGAGACCGACGTGTTCTGATGCCTACCGCTAGGCACTTCTGTCAGCTGGGAAAAAATAAACGTTCCGGGAAGAAAACAAAAATTAACCGTATCTCTTGAGAGATAGATTTTTGGACGACATTCGTGTCCGCAGGTTGCCCGCGCACGCAAGTCGCGATTTTTCTTCTCCGAATTCGGGATTTGATTTGCACCCCCCCCTGCGCGCGTGGAAAGAGCCTTTACCCTTAGGAATCTTAACTCCATAAGGGGGGAGTCCCTTTATAAAGGGTTGCAAATCCCTTGGGTTTTCCGGTGTGGGAAATTAACACACTAGAAACCCATCTTTTTTCCCTTCTAACGGGTAAACTTCGAAAAACAATTTCTCATTCACCCGTTATCCGTTTTGAGCGTACCATATATCGAATTGTAGCCCTGAGCAAGGACAATCCGAAACCACTTTGACCCGACCCAAATCGAAAGTGGACCCCACTCAAAAAATTGCCCCAAAATAGCCATTTAATGCAATTTTTCACACATTTTTCCAACAGCACTAACGTGTATTATTTGATGCACTGCGATGTTTTTTAATTTGAACCATATACAAATTTTAATTTTTGCACTCATAGATTTGTATTTTGTGCTTTCATATGAGTTCTTGTTGTTCAATTGGATGCATTAATAAATTTTTGCTTTTGCACTTTTACATATTATTGTTGCATAATTTATCGATTTATGGATTTTGCACTCTTATAATTTTTAAATGTGTACATTTGAAATAAAATTTAGTGCACCTACTTTGTCATGTTATTCATTTACGTGTTTAATATGGAACACTTACATCATAGCTATCCATTTAAGTTTAAGATATTATTGATACATTTTCTATTACACTTCTGATGCACTTATCATACTTAATTTACGCACTTTTCATTAGTTTTTAATTTTACTTTTGTTTGATGATATAGGTGACATCACAAGACGCCGTCATAATGGAATATGATACTTTTGGAAGAAAAGTGTATATCATTTTGTAAAAAAGTATCAATGTGAATTTCAAAAAGTGTGAAAGAGTGCGAATGTAAAACTTCATATTATTTTGTAAAAGAGTGCAGATGTAAAACTTCACGAATCGTAATATAATAGTGCACTTTTGTATGTATATAATATAATAGTGCACTTCAATAAAAATGTCATTTCTCTTGAGATTGAAAAAGTATCCAAATATTTAATTAAATTGATGTTGCATCATATTACAAATAAAAGTGCAGTTACTTAACATTTATGTGCAAATACTCATAACTAGTTGAATGAAGCATTTCATCTGAAAAGACGATTACACATTAAAAATGAAAATATTTGAATAAAGATTTCCTAATAAATTAGTTATCTAGATTATATGTGAGAGAATATTAAATTTGGAAAATAAAATTAAATAAAAGGAAGTATTTGTTAAAATAAGAGAGATAGTATGTTGCTTCATGTTAATTACTATCCTAACTTTTGGGAGTATTACCTATTTTGGTCCCACATGTGTAATAACAGGTCAGACACGTACTACTTTGAGGAGTTGACGGTTACACAATTAATTTTAGAGTTACAATAATGCCCTCCTTAATTTGCTACACGTGCACTAACATTAGTAGGAAAATAGTATAATGTCATGCAATGCAGCATAACGTATGAGATGTATTCTCATTTCTCTCATAAGAGAGTGTTCTCACATGAATCTTACCCTATATATATATACACTCATGTATTTGTAAACCATGACTTGTATCATTGATCGTCTCTAAAAGAAAGAAAACCCTAGTTGGCCCAGTGGATTAGGTCAGTAACATTTACTCGCTGAACCACGTTAAATTTGTGTGTAGTTCTTCTCGTTCTTTTCTAGTTTTTCAAATTTGTGTGTGCCTCCTAACCCTAACATTTCTCCCTCCTGAACCACCGTTACGGGGGGATTTTGTGGCTAGCGTTTGAAAGAAGCCACTTCAAATTTGAATTTAACTACACGCGATATATTGTTCTATATTTTCTTTCAGCTTTATGTATGTTCCTTTAGACTTTTTACTATGTTTTTATTTGTTTGTGTTAGTGACTTTTTTAAGGAGCTTATGACGGTTATTTGCCTCGAAACTCTCATATATTCAACCAAAAATTTCACTCTATTTTGTGTAAACTTTTTATGTCTAATGAGGGACTAAAGAGACCTTTCGGCTATTTTGAATTTGTTAATGTGGTAAAGAGTACGATAACCTTACATGTGGTGTTCAATGATTCACAATTTCACACTGTTAGAAGATAATTGAATTTTAAGTTATTGACCGTAGCTCCAAATCATTAGTTAAATTAATATAATTTTGTTGTGAAATGAAGAAGATGAAGAACAAATTGAAGAGATAGATATATTATTAATAACTTCTAAATTATTTCTTCTTAATATCTGAGAATTTCTGAGTTTCTGAATGAATTTACAAGGCTTCATCAAGCTCCTATTTATAGTGTTTGAGCTTGATGATTAGTCACCTAAATGATGAGTCTACAGATTTGGTGGCAATAACAAATTGAGCCACCTGCTCTAACTAGGTTACAAGGATCATTACTAGGATGATGAATAGCTAGGTGTCCTAATGACAAGGATGAACAATTCACACATGTCCTTCTCAGGAATTTACAACACTTCCCCTTGAATGTTCATCCTTGAATATGTATTTGTTATTTTAAAAACTTGTTGTGAAAATTAAGGGGTAAAGATTACGACTTATAATGTCGTTGTATTTGGATGTACTATCTCGTTAAAAACCTTATCAGGAAAAACTCAGTGGGATAAAAACCTGATGAAGGGAAAAAGAGTGCAGTGCATTCAAATACTCCCCCTGAATTTAGCATAAATTATGAAGGCGGCACATGCCAATTTTCTGTACAAGTTCTATGAATTTCTTCGGGGATAAAGATTTGGTGAAGAGATCGGCCAGATTTTCACTGGATCTGATTTGTTGAACGTTGATCGTTCTTTCTCAAGGTCGTGAGTAGAGAAAAAATTTGGAGATATATGCTTCGTTCTATCTCCTTTGATGTAGCCTTCTTTAATTTGAGCTAGGGCCCGGGTGACCTAAACGGTCATGCCACAACATGAATGTTTTATGATCATCTAACTTTGTGTTAGAAACCAAATTTATTTCGAATGGACTAATATGAGTGAAATATAGTCCTGAGGAATATGCTGGCATTTTTTCACAAATACATTTAGTGCTAGATTTAGTTGTCGTTAGACAAAGATATTCCTTTTGGTTTTCATTCATGGTTTCGATGTGATAACCATTTTGACGCATGTCTTTAAAACTCAATAAATTTCTCCGCGATTTGTTGGAGTATAAAGCGTCATTTATAATTATTTTGGTCTCGTTAGGGAGCATCACATATGCTTTCTCAGAGCCTTCAATGAGCTTTGCAACACCTGATATAGTAGTGACTTTAGCTTCAACTAAAGTCATTTGTGAAAAATATATTTTATTTTTCAAAATGGTGTGCATTGTGGCGCTGTCTATAAGATATAGCTCTTTATCATTTGAGTGATTCATATCTGCAAGAGATTGATTTCTTGGAGAGCTTTTGAACAGATTCGTGCTGATAACGTGTTGTGAAATGAAGAAGATGAAGAACAAATTAAAGAGATAAATGTATTATTAATAACCTCTAAATTATTTCTTCTTAATATATGAGAATTTCTGAGTTTCTGAATGAATTTACAAGGCTTCATCAAGCTCCTATTTATAGTGTTTGAGCTTGATGATTAGTCACCTAAATGATGAGTCTGCAGATTTGGTGGCAATAACAAATTAAGTCACCTGCTCTAACTAGGTTACAAGGATCATTACAAGGATGATGAATAGACAAGGATGAACAATTCACACATGTCCTCAAGAATTTACAAACAAATTTCACATTTTTGCTTTAAAAAAAACTAGAACCTAAACTCAGTCGAGGCATTTCTTTAGCAGATTGATATATTGAAAAGGGAAGCAATTTTGGCTGCATATATAAGAATAATAGTTCACCCTGACATTGTGTAAAACATGAAATGTGATTCAATTCTGAGTAATACCCCAAAATGAGGCAGAATAGCTTTGGAGTAATAGCATTCAGTCATTCAAATTACATTCCATTCCAACTAAACAACCATCCCGAGAAATTGTCAACTCATATACAAATTTTTAATTGTTCGACTCATTTCAAGAATAAAAAAAGTTCATTTTTCAAAAAATAACAAGTGAATTAGGTCTCCTGCGGAAAAGAAGTGCTCACGGACCACTAACTCTGAAACTTTGACGTATACAGCAAACGAAATCAAAGAATGCACTGCTCCAACAAATGAAGATCATAATAGTGGCAAAGAACAATGGCAAGATTGGCACATAAAGGAGCAACCATCATGGATGCTGCAACACTATACATTAAAGTGAGTAAAACGAAGACAAACTGTATTGCAGCACTCAAGTCTTATCTTCCCTGAACAAGACCGCTGAAAACTTGACTGTTCCCAGCAAGCGTTGCTTCCCACTCCACCGAGGATAAGAGGATGTGCGAAAGTGATATCACAACTTGCTTCATGTCTGGTCTTAGAATTGGGTCCTCATCCACACATTGCCTTGCTAGTGTAGCTAGCTAAAAAAGCAAAGAGAAACCTGATTTAGTTAATTATCTGCATAGAGTGGACTATTTCCATCATCATTACTCCAGTGCCGCAAAGGTGGGTAAGGGGGGTCGGATGTACACAACTTTACCCTTGTACTAAAGCTTAAAGCACAGAGAGACTGTTTCCGGACGACCCATAGTGAAAATTGTGTCGAAAATTGCATGAACTGACTAATGCTTCATAACAAAGAAGCACAAACAGTTTAGTGAGCCATTTTACTTTATTCCATCATATTCCCAAGCCAAAAAACAATGTCTTCGGCTCCATTGCAAATGAAAGAAAAATATAGTGGACTATTTGTGGATTTCGAATTTTACAATCGCTATTATGGATACTTTTAGCCCATATTGGACCGAGTGGAGCAACCCCAATGTGGAATTATCCACCCACTGTCTGGATCGGATTTGGCTCTTAGGTGGAGTAACCTTCGCGGATTCAAACCTGTTGCAGCATACTTCCTTCCATAAACTGAAATGCCAGATTGAAATGAAATTTCCGAATTATGTATGTACCTTGTAAAGACAATCATGTGGGTACAAGTTCATCAAGTTAGGATCAGCACAGTCCTTCAAGGAAGACATACTCATGGAGTCTGGGGAATTTCTCAGAGCTGCTAGCATCTGTAATCATCAATAAAGGCTCATTTGCTATGTGGAAAGGAGCAGAGGTGGAAAAAATTTAAATTCCATGGGAAAAGGATGAGGTGAGTAGTAATTTAAATTCCATTGTTTGGTAGCCAAAAGTTGCTTGGAGTATTTATTCTGATACTTGGTAAGCATGAGAATAAAGATGTTTAAGGTAAATAGATAATAGGGGACTGTTTTGGGTCAGTCCACTAATCATTTATTCCCGAATGGAATAATAAAAAAAGCACTCGTTGGGTGAGGAAGCTTTCTTGCCTGCAATCCAGGGTATAAGAATCCCTTTGGAATATTAGTTCTTTTCTAACAAACTATGAAATTCTTCCCAAATAGGAATTAGAATTGGGAAGTAAAAGATCCCAAGTTCGTACCTAACAAACAGGTTGTAAGAATCATGTCTTGATAATTGCTAAAGAATATACAATGACTTACAATCGATACCAATGAGCGCCTTTCGGCATTTGCAATAGCGGTGCCCTCGGTGGGAGTGACAGCCTCTTTCCCTGAAATTATCTCAAAAAGAACAATACCAAACGCATAGACATCACTCTTAGTGGTTGCTCGGCCATCCCTCAAGTATCTGAAAAACAGCCAGATCATCAAGCAAATAAGAACTGGCGATTTCCAATTCCAACTTGTATTGTTCACTGTTACTATGTGTTCACTCACTCTGGGGCAACATAACCAAATGTTCCAACTACTCTTGTGACTGAAGCTTCTCCGTCATTCGTTATCCCCACAAGTTTTGACAAACCAAAATCTGAAATCTGTCAAGGGTTTTAGAAGTTAAACTAACCTTGGGGACAACAACACTAAAAGATAGAAAGGAGGGGGGCTGGAACCTTTGCTCTAAAGGATCCATCAAGCAGGATGTTACTAGTCTTTATATCACGATGCACATAGTGAGGTTTCGTGTGCTCGTGAATGTACTCCAAACCTCTGGCAGCATCCAGTGCAATCTGAACCCTCATGATCCAGGAAAGCGATGTATGACCTGTTCAGATGGATCAAAGAGAGTTCATGATACTTGAAGCCGCCACAAACTGTCTTACACTATAAGCTCGCCCCAATGCGACTACTAGCAATCCATTAAGGCACATGCAAATGCAGCTCAGATTTTTATGGAGTATAGGATTCACATACTGAAATCAAATTTATACATATTTGTCCAAGAAGATACTAAATATTGCCACAGGGCAGAACTGAAACTATTAAATAGCTATGCATATAATGTAAAAGTACAGATGAAGAAAAAGGTAAGGCTATCATGTCCATGACTTATGAAATTAAAGCAGACATTGCTCTTATTGGAAAAAGAATTTCACTTGGTCTTTCATATGCAATTTTTCACTAACTTATTTTTAAGTATTTAGTAGTAGACAATAAATTGCATGTTATTGTTCCTTTATTTGTGAAATCTATTTTTTTTATTATAAATATAACTCGTGATCTTTGCAACATTAACATGTGCTGATGAGCAAGAGTATAAAGTTATTGTGAGTTGTCCTGATTCATGAGAAAAAGCATACTAGAATAATATTCTAATATAGCTTGGTTAGACTTACTTCTCAACTGTATCATGGATATAACTATATAAGCAACAACATGTGCTACAAAAACAACAAGAACAACATTACCCCAGTGCCGCAAAGGCTTGGATATATGTAGCCTTACCCCTGCACTAAAGCAGGGAGAGACAGTTTTCGGATGACCTATGATGAAATTGAGTCAAAAATTGCATGGACTGACTGCTGCTTCATAACAAAGAAGCGCAGACAGTTTAGCGAGCCGTTTTGCTTTATTCCATCATATACCCGAGCCAAAAAGTAGTGAGACTTTGGCTCCATTGAAAATGATGGAAAAAAGCAACAACATGTGCTACTGAAGAAAAATAGATTAATGTCTTTCACCAATGACAAAAATATGAGCAGAAAATAAAAATAAAACCTCAATTCAGGTTTAAATGAGAGAGAAAACCGACCTTTATTCTGAGGATCATGCAAGTGGCTTCTAAGAGAGCCTTTCTGGGCATATTCATATATAAGGAAGAGCTCATCCTTACTGGTGGCATAACCAATCAATTCTACCTTGACATGTTCAAAGCAAGGAATGGAGTCAACAGTTTTAGTGTTAAAAGCGGCTAAGCTCTAAGTACATTATGAAGGGAGTGGGTATAGCATATCAAATTTAAATGTGCCTTACCAAATTAGTATGATGCACTTTGCACAGAACTTTCATCTCCGCCATAAACTCTCTAGTTTTAGTGGCAGTCATTCTTTTGATTGAAACCTCCTGGGTTTTCACACCCCGGTCAGATGTGCCGAAAATAATAATTACAAATTATGCATCAACTCAGATTTGGTTAGCATTATTTTTTATTTACTTAGTTTTTGTTTGATTGATTTAAAATTGGGTTAGGTTTGGTCCCCCCCCCTCCCAATTTTTACTTTTCTAATTTGGTTTGATTTATTTCTGATGTATTTCGGTAGGGTATGCGCTTCCTGAAGAGGTTTTGGTCTAGTCCCCCTCTTCTTTTTGTATCTTTATTTAATTTTTTAATAAAATTGGCAAATGTTCCCCGGCATTTGCCCCACTGATTTTGGTGGTTTGCCTACCGGGTTCAAAAAAAATCAAATTATGCATCAACAATATTGCCAAAGGAGATAGAACAGTGACCTGATCACGAAGGAGGCCATAGTAAACAGAACCATATGTTCCATCTCCAAGAAAGTTAGCATCTGAGAATCTATCAGTAGCGGAGAGAATTTCTTCATATGTAAAAACCAGTGGTTTATCCATATCAAAGATATCAGTCCCTATAACTGCAGGAAGAGACACAACAAACTATCACATTTGAAGCCCTATTAGGACTAATCAAAAGTTAAGCAGGTCCAGTGGAGAAAGTAAAAATATATGGAGTATAGGACAACGAGAGAAAAGCTTTAGCACTTTCAACACATCAAATGCACGTTTGAAAGGGAAACACCTGACCTGATTTAGTCCTTTGTCTATATACAATTACTCAAGTTGGTCGTCAACTTTCTATTGGACTCAATTTAGACCTCAAATATGCAATCTAGATCCAATGTAGCCGCATCCATACTTATCTCTAATTAAGAAGGGTTTTTTATGCTGATGACTTAATTAGAACAAAATTACATAGTTGAGGACTACATTAAGTCCTGAACTAGGTCTAAATTTAGTGAATGGGCGAAAAAACTTTTTTGTTTAGAACCAAATATATGTGATCATGGAATTAGGTCCCAAATTTCATAGTCAAATGATATGACCGTTTATTATTATTATTAGAACTAATTACATGTTTATGACTAAAATTAAGATGGATTACAAAAATGTGACCTCTAAGTGTAATAACTATAGTAGTAGCTTTAGTCATAGTAACTCATGTTCAACTTTTGTAGCAACTTAAGTGATGAGACACTATATTATAGTAACTTCTGGTCATATTTTTGCAAATAAGTTTTATTTCAGTAATACTCTTGAAAAACCCTCTTATTATTATTATTATTATTATTATTATTATTATTATTATTATTATTATTATTATTATTATTATTATTATTATTATTATTATTATTATTAGTATATTTATTATATTTATTATCATACTATTATTATTAGTTTCCTTTACAAGTCTTAGTAGTAGTTTCCTATTGTTATTGGTTATAGTAGTTTCCTATTAATATATGAAGTCTATTTTAATTAATAATCCTGGTTAGGGTTACTCTAATGCAAGTCTACCAAGACTCTATTCATTAATAATATGATCAATTTTTTGGGAGCTAATCCTTAGAGTCTTGACAAGGCCGGACACAACCTTCTCTTGCCTAGGGGGAGAAGTTCTTCATCTTTACTGATTTAATTGTTCTTTTCATCTCTCTATTACGCCGTTAACATTGACGTCCAATTTGAGGCTGAAAATGTTGAGGACGAAATTGAGTAATGTGTGTGGTTGAGGGACTAATTCTGGGTATTAACTCTTCAAGATGTGTGGTTTCATCAAAATTCAAACCTTTTGGAATGTTGTTCATTTGTAGGTTACTAGGTTCCCTGATAGGCTCTTCCCAGCCCCGCAATCTACAACAGAAGTACCCTCTTGAGGGACAGCAAAAACTTGTGTGTCCGAGAATACGAAACTCGTGAGAGTTTTTCTGATCAGATTCAGAATGATTATGACAACAGTTGGATGATCTCAAGGAAACCAGAGACAGAATGATTATGACAACAAGTGCAAAGCCAATAGCTAAACCTCCAATTATCCACCAAAATGGAACATGATGCTTATGATCCTTCTGGATTCCTGCAGAAAGAAATGGGTTGGTAGCCATTTTCCTAATGTCATACAGAAATACGGAGTATAAAAGTTAGGTTATGACTAAATATGGTTCGTGTTTACAAGAAATATAAAGTTTTGGGTTTTTTCCTTATTATAAGAGAACAATTTATTTAAGGAAGTAGATTTATGGAGAATAAAGTTGCCAAGTTTGTCAATGAAGGATTTCTGGAGTAACCTATTGTTGCTAATGAAGGGGAAAAACATACCCATGATACTAACATCAAATGGTGCTGGAACAGGAGCAAGAAGACTGTCATTTTTCAGGGGATATGATTCTCCAGGAACTGGATAACCAACAAAGAAGACAATTAAATGAGAGAAAAGTGTAATGTTTATCTCTCTTCTCAATACAGTTTACAAAATGTGCATTTTAGGGTCAATGCTGAGAGATTGATAACAGATATTCATTCTTTGTGCATCTGTCTTTCGCATTGTGTCAGCAAGACAGAAACAATTGAGCCTGGTCCATATCAGTGTATGGAAAATAGCTCATGAAATAAATAAACAAACTACAGCAGATTGTCAAGAATCTTCATCTTTCCAATTATACTAATGGAAAAATGCAAATATACCAAAACACAAAAGACATACAATTACACAAATAAGACTATTATATACACAAAATAAATAAACTGACAATTTACATTTAATAAGATAGTGACTGCGCATTTGAAAGGCTTTAAACTATATCACCATACATTCAACAACCACAGTGACTAAAATCCCCAAAAGTCTAACTAGCAGACTTATCACAAGTCACAACCAAACAAAAACTAGCCAACTAATCCAAAAACAATTTAGAGAACTAATCAACATACTCGATAAGCAACAATAAATTTTGAGAAAAACATGAAGAGCATGCTGCATTTTTTTAACAACACTATTAACAATACCTGAGTTCAATGGTATGTAGTATAATGCACCCACAGTGACATTATCAGGATTTACAATTTCATTGAGAGTCTCAATGCTGTCCATGCTAACCCCAAACCTACTAGCTAGAGACTCCACAGAATCCCCGTCTTCCATCACATAGCTCATCAAGTAATTCCACAGCCCACTTGAGCATCCACACATAAGCTTCAGAGAAACCACTGCCCCTTTCTTGGCCTCCCTAGTGAAATTAGCCGGAAAATAGGCCAGCCCACCATACGCATCAATCACCAAATCATACACAGATCCATTGTTCTTTCTAACCGTGAAAGTGGTGTTTGTCAAGTACTTGTTAGTAACCGAGGCACAAGAGCAGTTCTTCCTGATGAACACATATCCTCTGTCATTACCCTCCACAGTGATATCATGAGGCAAAACATCAAACATGCTCTGGATCACAGGCAAGGTCTCATCCTTACCAGGCTTGAAGGCCAAGAAGGAGCTGCATAGGCGCCCTGAGTCGGTGCAATTAAGGGGCGTAGGATATGAAGAACACAGAGGGGCAGAGTGAAATATCTCATACAACAAAAAGAGAAGAATCAAGATTTGAGCTTTATGGCTCATGGCTAGAGAAAAGCTTGAATCTTTGGCTTATTCGGCCAAAATGGGTGGAAGCAGAATCAGTGAAGAGTGTACAAGAGAGCAAATTCAGAGAAGGAACTGATGTGTGTGAGTTTCAAGAGGTGTACGGATGGGGCTTGCACTGGACTACTGGAGGCTGGAAGGGGTAAGGAACAAGGGGTGAAGTGCAGAGCATGTTTGGTGTAGGGGCTGGTTAATATTTCCATTTAGTTGAAAAAATGGGGACAGAGCCAGTGACTCCAGACCTCCTGCTGGCAGACCCATGACGGGTAACTGACAAGACTGTAAAAACATGAAAAAGGAGATAGGACTGCCATTTGAGTATGCGTGAAAGATAATTGATTCTTCGGTTTCTACACTTTTCCACCTATATTATTGTAGAGTCTAGCTTACATCTCTACAAAATTATAAGCATGAATCAAGGTAAGGATATTTTGGATATTAAAAATTTGTTGGTGGTACATCATAGCTTAATAAATGTGTATTATGTGCTTCAGTCGTTATACTCTATCTTCTACTTTGCTCATATGTCTATTTACCGTCGTTTGTCCGTGAATGAACGATACCACTGTGGTAATTTGGATCTGGTGCCGCCTCATCTGCTTCTCGTCCCAGCAGCAGATGAAATTGTTAGGGTTAGATCTAATTTCGCTGATCCCACTGCGGCACCGCCCGGCTCAGAAGAGAGCTTCACAGATGGAAGCAAGAGCTTGATACTGAGATGGAGAGAGGCCATGGTTACACTTCTTTCTTCTTCTTCCTCCTTTCAAAGAACGAATCATAGAATATTTCTTGTCATTACTCATCTTTGCCTCTTTGGTTATACTATTATAGTATAATTATACGATATGATATTTTTATTCCCGCTCTTGATTTGTTTCTCTCCTCTGCTTCTTCTCTGCTATTACTCTTATAAGAGGCTGTTGGCTGGGTGGCAGTCTTTGTAAGCAGCCAAGTGGGAATTTCAACAGTTGACGGTGATGAGATGGAGTCCTCCAATTCAATTCCGGCTCGTGTATGCTTTTCTTTTTATCCAACTTCCATTAACAGGTATGCTATTTCAGTACCTAACCATCCACGATAACGGATCTAGATCAGAAACAATAGGGTGATCGCCTGCTCACAGCATAAGCATCACCTGCTACAAATTGCTTAACCGACTGGAAGAGGAAATGGAGGAATCTGGCTCCACTGGAAGTGGCTATTGATTGATTTTAGAAAACTGGGCAGGTCCTCTTTTCTTAACAAAAAATGAGCTAATCTTCTTTCTCTCTTACACAAGTTATGCTTTCTCCTTTGTTCTTAGGCTTTCTTCTCCGATTTTATTTTTAAATCTATTTCTCTAGGGAGTCAACTGAATAGCCTAATTGACATCTTTTTTATTGTTCTCACTGTGGCTGTTGTATGTAATGCATCCATATTATTTCATTCTTTCCTAAACATACATCTACTTAATGACAATAGAAATGACTACCGTAGCTAAATATGTGTGGCTCAATTGAGTTTTCTGTACAGGAAAGGGTGAAAAGGAGGAAATGTGACACAAATATCTTATTAAGCTATTGTTCTTATGGGAAAAAATATTGGCTCACTTCTATAATCGTATGTGTCTCTATCATACTGTCCAAAGGGAGCAATTGGTGTTCGGGTAGCTTACTTAGACATAATAGAATCCTTGAACTAAGCTAAACCAACAACATTATCCTTTATTGGGGAGTCTTTGGCTGCTTTTGGGTCAGGTATATTACAACCTATAGCCATATTCACACCATCATATTTTCTAAGTGGGCTCTTTCTTTTATATGTTTCTTTTTTTTTCCAATATAATTATTATATAACCCCTGTATATGCTGTGAATTTTTAAGTAATGATTGTAATCTTGTGCTAGCAAGAGGAGTTGGATGTGACTATGAGACAAAGCATTTCTTTCACTACAAAACAAGGATTTTTGGAAGGGATAGAGCCACTTTTCTTTGGACACTTGATCCTATTTGAGATGATCGTCTTTTGTCAATATTTGTAAATGAAGAGGCGGCTTTTGATATGATGGTATTCAAGATTCTGGCATAATTAACATCTTTCTCTACACCGAGATGAGTCTTTTCGTTGGATTATCGGTTGAGAGTTGGTTTATAACAAACTGATCTACAATCTAGAAAATTAATGATCCAACTATCCTATTACTTTAGATTAATTTTTCAAACATCCAGCTAAAAGCAAACATCCTGATCATTTATTAATTCTATGAAATAAATTTCCAGCGACATAGATAAACATGCATAATGTATAACTCTCATATATAAAGTATTACATTTAGCCAAGGTATTACCAGATAAACAATTTATGTTCAATGGGCTTCTATATCGCTATTAACAAATACACAACATTTGCCTTGGTATTACCCTATAGACTAAATATTTTATCAATTTAAAGGTTTACACTTTACCAAAAAAACTAATCCAACATTCGTGCTTGCAAAATAAGATAGATGGGGAAGGAGCTTGCTTGGCTCTGATTTTTTATTATGGGCCGAGGGATAGGTCACTTGTTCATTTCGTTTGCTTGTAGAGCATCAGAATATGGAATACATAAGTTAGATAATACTTGCTTTTTCATCACATAATAGCCATACGTGCTGCTTATAATCTCAGAAAATTTGATATGGATCTTTTTTTTTGGATTGCAGGTGATAGCAGCAAGGCTATTGGAATCAAAGCATCCCACAACTCATTTATTTTTATCCACAGGTTTCACATTTAATTGAACTGTGCAAGTTTACTAAAAGTTCTTAACTTTGTATAACAAATGCATGATGGAAAATAATAACAAAACCAAATAAAAGCATTTGCTCCCTGAAGTTTTATAAATCATCATTTTGCTTCTACCAGATGTTATATTGAATCCTCTTATTTTCTTCAGAACAGAATTTAAAGGTATATTTGTTGGCTACTTATCTACTACAATGCTTTTCATGTAACAATGCTATATATTCTACATCATATTTTTTTCACTTTTTCTGCAAAGAAGTAAATGATATTGTCATTAAAGTTGTTGTTGCTCTAAAAAAGGTTCGACTTGTGAATAGTACTATTGCTCTAAATAAGTTTCAGCTATTTTTCACTCAAAACTGTTTTGGATAGTTGTGGTAAACATAAACCTTCTGAGGTATTAAATGTGAACATGATGATTCAATACTTGTGATCAAGTCATATAATGAGTATGCAGAATGTGGATTTGGTTGAGTCATATTTCTAGGACAGATATGAAGTAGCATTTTATCTTTAAATGGATCAATATGATACAACTGTTTTAAAAACTGCTATGCAGCCCCTAGGCAGTAGTAGACTATGGCCAAGTGGGAGATCGTCTTCTTCATGTTTGTTTTAAATTGATCAAATAATAAGGCCTTTATATGCACTTCACTAACGGATGTAGATAGTGAAAGATGGTCAACCAAAATAGTGGATTTGAGTTTTTAGCCTTTTGTTTAGTGCTTCATATTCTTCTCTAGAGACATAGCTGTAAACCCCATCTCCTTTTTCAAATTCCTCTAATTTCATACTCCGTATATGTTTTCTAAACTCTTACAGGTTTCAGTGTTAAATTCCGGCCACTATTGTCTGGTGTTAATTCTAGGGATTTGAATGATCTAAACCAAATATTGTTTTGTAGGAATGAATTGCAAGGATTGCATGATGAAGTGGTGTCCAATTGTAGTTTTGCTAATTCCTTATGAATGCATTATTTGAACATGGAATATGTAAATCATATGCAAATCAATCACATATTTAGTTGGGTATAATTGTTATTTAGTTTGCTTATTAGTTTCACGAGACTCAATTGTACGGATATAAACATTTGATACCATTAACCTTAACAAAATCATATTGGGCATTAATCCATCGCGCAACGCGCGTCATAAAACTAGTTTTTTTATACATAGGAAAGCAAGAGTCCACCTTGCAATTGAAAGATGAAGATTCTTGGCAATCTTTCCTAGTTTGTTCCATTTTACATTTATTTTGTAAGAAAATGGTCTCAAATAGACTAAGAGGCCGTTTGGCAACACTGTTTTTCCGCTTATCAGGCTTATCAGTCAACTTTTCCACCAAATACGTAACTTTTGCTTTCGTGCGGTGAATTGTGTAATAAGCAGAAAAAGTAAGGTTGTAGTTACTTTTCTGGCTGTATTGGCTGAAGTTACTGTAGTTACTTTTTTCTTAAATCAGCTGAATCAGTCAATGCAATCACTTCAGCCAGAATTTCATAAATTTCAGCAGATTCAACCAAAACTGCCGATTTTTGTGCTACCAAACTAGCTCTAAATTAATTCCTAAATGTACAAATAGACCATGTCATTTATCTTCTCAAAACACGATTAAAATATACTCCATCCTCATATTCTACCTTTTGTATAACTTAATAGAATAATCATATTTTAAATTGTAATAAAAACAAAAACTAACAAAAATTATTTTAACTTATACAAAATTCCTATGAAAATATAAAAAACCAAAAATACTTTTCAAGAAATATTAAAATAATGAAAACTAAAAATAATTTATAAAACTTGAAAAATAAAATAAAAACTTTAAAAAATATAGATAAAAACACATTAAAAAATGTGGAGGAGTTTTTAGCAGCATTGGTCACCACCCAGCAATGACATTTTTACTCTTTTGAAATGTCAAAATTTTCTCTATGACATTTCTGACTCATGTTGGATTTTTTTCTCGGTGTTTGGAGCTTGTGGTGTTTGGAGGTTGTAGAGGCGAGGCCTGCATACTTTTTAAAAAATGTGTTATTTATTTATTTATTATGTTTTTTATTTATATTTTTTATTTTATAATTTTTTATTTTTGTTCATTTTATTTAATATTTATTTTTTTGTTTATTTTTTTACATTTTTATTATTTTACTCCGTATTACTTTTATGTTTTATTCGTAATTATTAATGAAATTTTAATTGTATCAAAACAAAGCAATGATGGAGTTGGATAGCTAGTACTATTTGGTAAATTTTAAAGTTGTATCCCTATTTGTGCAATTAAAGTTTCATTTAGTCCTATTTGAAAAACTTTCCTTTTTTTCTATTCGCATTTTTTTTTAAAAAAAAAATAAATAAAAATTGGATGGTAGAGATTTGTGCAGAGGAGAGAGAGAGATAAAACAAGCCACAAATGAATGGGTTAAAGGAGAACATGGCAAAATTTTCACTTTTTGGATAAACAAA